TTAATTTAAACGGATAGCGAGAACTAACAATCGGGGCTCATAGATTTACCGTAACGTTAAAACGGTGCACATAAACCAACACAGAAGCCCGCGGCACGAAAAACGACGAACCGGCTAAGCCGCGCCGACTGACTGGCCGACCACGTGGTAAGAAGACATTCCTTTGTCTAACGGTACTATTTTAAACATGTATAACTTAGCGAAAATTACACAGACAGTAACGTGATTTGCAGGACCGATGGACTGGCCAGCGAGATGACAATCACAGTCGAAAAAACCAACCGGTCACAAGCGGGGGGACCGATACGGGTCGACAAAAATCGAAAATTTTGAACAGCGATAACACGTGAACAAAATTTCGGATTCAAATAAAACAATCACTTACTATTAGCGGACGTTAAGAGGAATCATTTGATATATAGTAATCCAATTTGCGAAGAGAAGTCACGTAGCAATCTCGATCGGAAACGGAGCCCAAGTTCACCCCGTTAGTACCTACCCAACGCACAACTCAAGTACGTTGCACAGACAGTCTATTATTGTAAGAATAAATTATCGAATTAAGATTTTTAAACATTAATTTAAATGAAAGCAAATTGTTCAACTTTAGCTTCGTGGGCTACTTTCAAAACCTTTGCGGTCAACCGGTCGACCGCGGTCTACGTGTTGGCCATCCCTGCCTTAGAGCTTTGAGTTGGAGAAGTTTTACTGTATTAACTTTTCGTTCTTTTTTACATCATACTGTCTTCTTCATTTTTGTCTTGCAAACATTTAATTATATCCTCTCAATTTAATGTTTGCAGTACTCCATTCCACCTGTTCAGTTTTATTGAGTTCTGCACATTAATGATGTTAAGATGCTTTTTTTTAATATGTAAATGAAACATTGCTCCAGAATTATTATATTCTTAATATCATACCAGCTTCTAATTACTAAGTTGTTACCAACATACTTTTACTTCTTTCCCTATGGTCCATTGCATTAAGATTGTGCCGTTCATGGGGTATTGAGGTAATGGGTTCAAAATGCTCTTTAACCCTGAGATTCACTGATCTATAAGTTAATCCTGGATAGAAAAATTCTTTACTCATTTGCTCAATACAACTGCATATATTCCCTGCTTTTTCACTTCTACCACCTTCTCTTTGTCTATTCTAATTATCTGTATGATCAACAGTAATTTTTTAATCACTATCTGAATGTCATATTTTTTTTTGCCAACAGTATTATCATCTCTGCTATAATTTTGCCCAACACTATGCAATATTTTTTCATTTCTTCATTTTTTACTTCAGCAGTAGATTGCCTTTTTTGTCTATTTGTTTGATTTGAATGAACTTTAACCAACCTCTGTATTCCTTTTTGTGTGACCCCATGCATACATGCTGCCTCAAAATTAGATCAGATCTCTTTGATAAGATGTGCTGTCTCTACTAAACAACTCATAGAATTGGAAGCCCTGGAAATTTTTAAAGGAGACAAATGTGGAGGACTTATTAATTATAAGAAAAGAAATTATTTCTCATGCATAGAAAGCACATTTTGATAAACATTTATAATTTAAACATTTCTATTTTTTGAATAATATCCTAAGATCTTAGAGGAAAATTGAAAATACTTGTTTTATAGAGAAATAAAGCTGCTGGACTAAATAAAGATAATGTGGTTATTTATTATTAAAAAATTATTTAGTATCAATTGCTTGATTTATTTCTAAAATCCAAATCAAAGCTGAAACAGTTAACTTGTAAAATCAAAACCATTCACATTTCAGAATTTTGTAATTTGAAACCTAAGGCAGGTTTATAAAATAAACAAAAACTGTTTGTATATTTATTCATTAAATCCATTTGCTGGAAAATATAAATAGTTTTGGTTTATATATGTATATGCGACATGCTTAAAACACTAAACATCCTCATGATAAAGTAATTCTGTAATTTAATGAAATTTAATGAAAGTTTGATATTTAATTAGTAATTCTGTAATTTTTGCCAATGTTGTATATTTACAACAAATATTTATATATTAGCTGCATCTAATGTGAAGAACAGCTGTTGTTCTGTAGCCACTTATTCTGGGATAGATGTTGCTTGTAGGTTAAACCTTACTTCATACCTCACCATTGACGTTACTGGCGAGGGTAACCTTACTGGTAGCTTATGCTTTGATGCAGTGGAACTGTTCCTATTATCTTTGTTTTCCTGCATATGTTATTTGACCTATTTGGTCCTGGAATATCGGCCCCACATAAATAACACTATTTTTCCCTCCTCCATCAGTCCATGTTATATCACATTAGTCATTGAAAAATCACAGGCTGATCAAAGCCAATGATCAGACTGTGGTATAAAGCTGGAGATTTTATCTAGGTTTAGTGGTTACAGTGATTCTTACTCCTGCAAAAGTAACTTTATTTTTACTAACAGAAAATAAAAACTTTAAGACTGGTTTTTATTAATAAAGAAACATTCTACACATCTCATTTATTCAAAAAACAAAACGTTACACTAAGAAGCAAAAGAATTCAGCTTGTATGAGGACTGGTCTAGTCCAGGGCCCATACAAACTCAATTCTTTTGCTTCAACAGTCCTGATCCTGATCAATATTTTCCCACATTAACAGTTTTTTAATTTGAAACAATGATTTAGTATCTTGGGGTGTAAATATAGTATATGACAAGCAATTATTTATTGTGACATCATCACAATAAATAAATAAATCATCGCAATTTTAATCATATTTTTAATTTATTTAGTTTAAAACATGCTCTCCATCTCAAATTATTAGTAGTGGCTTGCCTTTGAATATCATGTTTTTCGTTTAACAATAGTCATGCCAGTCATTTATTAACTGCTTTCAGGGAAAAAGTTTTGAATTGAAATAACATCACTTCTGGTTTCCATTGCAAATTTGCAAATAGTTAATTGGGGCCTCCTGCTCCTAAGGTTTTCATATCTGGTCTTGTCTTCCATCTATCTAACTCCATTCTCGAGATTAAGAAAAGACAGACAGATGGACAAACAACAGTGGAAATTTATAGGTCTACAATTTTTTCAAATTGCAGCCAATAATCTTAGATGTGTTTAGAAGATTAATGATGTTCACATATGACTTACTTTCTTAGCATTTTCTGGATAGCCAGCTTTGTATTGTAAAATCAAACCATCATTTTCAAACCTTGCTATAATATTAGAAGTATACTTAACCAATAAACAAATATCAGAAAGATAATACTGTATAAATAGTTATCTTTTTCATTTCCATAAGACTGAAATGCATATTTATTCTTAGGCCCTGTACACACTAGGCGTTTGACGAGCGTTTAGCGGAGCGTGCGCACTGGCTCGGTTTGGAAATGGATGTGGAAGTGATTGCTTGTGTGTGGAAAAGACGACGGCGGAGGCAAAGAGAATTTTGGGTGCACCCAATATTACCAGATAGACTGACGCATGAAATGTTTGCGACGTTGTATCCAAAACTAAGACAAAATAAATTCAAGTTTTTTAATTTTTTAAAAATATCTATAAAATCCTTTGACGATGGTTGGTCTCTTTTAGATTTCATCAATAAATAGATCAGTATCGAAATGATCGTTTTCCATTTCAGCACATATATCTCAAAGCGCTCGGCTGACGCCCGCAAAACGCGCGATCGCATGTACGGTAACATGGCAGCACATATATCTCAAAGCGCCCGTAAAGCGCTCACAAAACGCGCGTTTTAACAAAAATCTATAAGCGCTTGCAAAACGCGCGTTTAACGCGCGCTTGGCTTTTGAGTGTGTACGGCTACATAGAACTCTTGGTTCTTTTAAACGCGCGTTAAGCGCGCGTTTAACGCGCGTTGAAAAACGCCTAGTGTGTACAGGGTTATACAGAGTTGTGTGAAAGACTCTTGCTGTCTAGGAATGTGGAGGGGAAAGGAGGAAAAGGAAAAGAATAATAATATAGTGTGGCCGTACGCCTTATTTTGTATATTTTATTATTAGTATTCCCTTCGTTTCTTTTTTTTTTTTTTTGTTGTTAGTTCCTTTGTCTATCGCCTTCCAGAAACTTCTTCCTTAATCCTTTCCTGGTAAGGTGGTGGTGACCTATTTTCAAGACAAAGAAAAGATGGTAGCCCAAGGGCTAAGGGGTCGAACAAGACTTCACTTTTTGCTTGGACGTTGGAGAGAGAGGACGTGTTGTAAAGACCTCCAGTTTGCTCTGTTATCAACAGAAGAAGAAAGGAGACAATAAGCCAAAGCTAATAATCGAGAGGAGATAGAAGCATATCCCGAGAACAGAATATTTGGGGAACTGATTCTGAGAGTCGGACAGAGTTAACCAATCAACTATTTCTCCAAGATTTGATAAGTCCGATATCACCACCATCAATCCGAGATCGTCGACACTTTGGGTACCCATTCTTTTTCTATCAAATATCCAGCTATCCTATTGCTTATCTTTTCTTCCTCCCATTTAGTATAAGTAGCTTTAAGTATTTAGTTATAGTTCCTTTTTTTTTTTTTGTACAGCATTGAATAGTATTGTCGCAAGATTTTTATTTACTGCCGAAATTGTCTAGAAAACACCAAACGAGGAGTGCCGAAATATAAAAGAATCCTGAGACAGAAAATAAACACGAGTGAAGAAAAATTATCTAGTTGTATTGTTTGCTTTTCCTCTAGTTGGAAACACTCTCACCACGTGCGTATCTTACAATAGCAAATATGAAGTGCTGATGAAAACAAAATCTTTCTTTTATATACACAGCACAAGTAACAGTGATCACAAATACATTCTACGTATTGAAATACTGTACTTCAAATTCAAGTATAAAATTTATATAACAAATGTCAAAGATTTCATCAGCAAAAATTAATGTATTAAGTATACTGTAGTATTGTATCATCTATTTTGAACAATAATTATCATTAAATTGTTCTTATTTCTTACTTTTAATGGTTTTATGAAACTACTGTTTTTTCCTATTTATCGTGTCTTTTTTGCTTTCCATTACACTAAAAAATGATGCATTAAGATTTTACTATATGTATATTATTTTGAGAAAAGTTTATTGCATTTTGCTGCATGTAAACATTAAGATGTCTTGTATAAAATCAATATATAATAAATAATGAACACTACTTAAAGTTACTTACCTGTTGATAATACTATAAAAAAAACGTTTATCTTGATCTTTATCTGTTGCCTGAAGTTTAAGAATTTCAGTACCAGACTTAATATTTTCCGATACATCAACATTATATGTTTGCTCAGAAAACTGAGGTCGGTAATTATTTCCATCCTTTACTTCTATTTGAAGCTATAAAAGTAATATTTTAACTATGTCAAAAAAGCATATAAACAAGACAAACACACAACTTTAAATTAAAAAAAATAATTGTTCATTCAGTATATACCAAAATTAACAAGTGCCAAAAAACATAAACAACAGTGAACTGAAAAACAGAAGAGTTAATAGCAAGAATGCCAACTAAAACTAAAACTCAAAAAATGTATATAGTAGTGCTAACAGTGGCGTGCCATCTATGGAAGCTGTGGAAGCACCGCTTCTCTTGTATTTTCTAAAATATAAACACATATGTGCAATAATTTTCATATTTTAATGTACTTTCAATTACTTAAAATTAAAATTATTTTATTATAACTGCATTATGTATTTTATTACAAATTTCTATACATGTAAAAAAATGATAAGATTACTATTGTATATACAAATATAAATTCATATATGAATATTCCCAATGGAAGCGCATTATTGTTGAATATGGGACAGCTTCCATGGCAAAAATATTTAAATTGTGTAAAGCAGCCAGATTATATGTATTTGCACATGCATTTTACAGAGCACCAACCTCTGACAGTTTAGCTTGTGGATGATGCACACCAAAATATCATATAATGCTTTCAATGATTCCATCCATTAGCCACTCATAGGGAGCTATTTGATTAAGTGCATTGTTTTAAGATTTAAAAAGTACAGAATACTTTATGTTATTTTTATGTATGTTTCTTTACAAACCTACATTTAATTATAATTTTCTTTTAATTATAATTGTATAGACAGATTTTCAGGCATAAAATCTTTATTTTATCACTTTTAGATGTTAATAATTTTAAATACAGTAAGTCCCTGCTTAACATAGGAAATGCATTCCTAGACAACAAAGCACTAAACAAAACAGCATTAAATAAGGTCATTTTAACATAGAGTAAATAGGGATAAGGGAACACGCAACCAAAAATAAACAAATTTTACTTATTTTTATTAAGTTATTTTTATATTAATTTGCATAATAATATATGTTAAATAACACATAAACATATGCACACAGAAATGTGAAGTTCATTTTTTGTGACAAAGGTCCTGGCTTTTCTGAAATTCTTGTTCTTTTGCAATAAAGTCGTGAAGTTTCATTTGTTGAGTTTTTCTTTCCTTAAGCAAATGTCAGTAGCAGAAGATTGCATCCAAAATGCCTGGTTTTGCTTTTGCACTCCTTTCAAAATCTGGATCATTTGCTACAATTTGATTGACAATTTTGGTTATTGTTACCAAATTTTTACTAAGGAAATCTGTAGAGAAATTTTATGGGTTCTTTGTTTTCAGAATCTCTATTTTCTAATTTTACATGAATTCCTTCTTCTACCAGCTCTTGAAGGTTGTCATTGGTATGATTCTCACCAGAAACCTGCAGTAACTCCTCAATATCCTACTCGTCTACATCTCCTAGTCCTACCATATTGATTAGGTTGAGTTTGGTCAACCTAATGATACAGCAATAGGCTCTTCTCGTTGAGAATTCTTGGATACCTTGAGCCATAACTTCTCTTCCACACTTTGTTCGTGCATTTATCAGTTAATTCTTGCCAAGTGAAGCCAATATTGCCTATGGCATCCATGATGTTATATTTTTTCCAAAATTGCACCAAACAAACATAGATTTAAAGAAAGTACACCTTTTTTCCACCTTTTTTTGATTGTATTAAATACAAATCAATGAAATGCCACGATAACTTAAATCAGTGTAAATTTTGAGCTTTTTTTTTAAGCTTTGAACAGACCACATTATATCGAATCAGCTTTAAGCGAAGTAGCATTAAGTGGGGTCTTACTGTATTATGAAAAACAATTTTCTGAAGTGAGTTTTAATTCTTTATGTAAATTTTATGGAAATTTTTTGATTTGCCTAAATTATGTAGTAAATTGCAATATTTATATTCATGTTCAGACTATATTGGCAAGTACTCTTAGACATAAAAAATTTTATAATTAATGATGATCTGAACAAAGAAGTACTAAAAGAATTATATGATTTAATATCATTAAATCATATAATTCAGCCCACCAGTGGCCGAGTGGTCTTCGTACCCTAAACACTGGGAGTTCGGTCGTGGGTTTGTGCCGCGATCGGACAGGCTGGCTGCTTGGAGTTTTCCGGGTTTTCTCCTTGCCAATAACGACTAAATAGGAGGCCAGTTCCCCATAAAAGTCCTCCCGGAAGGCATTAGTTCCCCTCGCGTAACATCGCGCCCCAGAGAAGGCAACGGGAAACCACTCTGGGTAGTAACTTTCCCTAGTATACACCTTGGCGGATTACAAACCTACGCCAGGTGTCGCCGACGTCAGGAATCTGATATGGCACCAAGAAGAGATCATTAATTTTTACAGTACCATCTACAAATGCATCTGTTGAGCACAGTTTTTCAACCATGAGGTAATTCATACATTTTCAAGGAACACTCAGTCAGAGAAAAGATTGTTGTTACTAGCATTACTTTCAATAGAAAAAGAGCATTTAAATACTTTGATGAAATCAATGACAAGCAACTTTTATAATAAAGTAATTAACAACTGTCAACCTTATAATTGTACCTTATAATGTAAACCCAATACAATTTTTCCAAATTATGCGATTCACAGTGAGTAAATATCACAAAATAATTACTCTTTATTAATTAGAACAAAATAAACTTTTTTGCAGTTCTTCAAAAATTCTTCAATTTCAAATGCACATTAATGTCCCCAATCTTATTAGCTTCTGCAAAAATCATCATCATCTTTTTCTTTATCTCTTTCATAATTTCAGCAGCCATCAACTTCTCACTTCACTCTTTCTCTTGCCTCATTTCTTCCTGTTTACAAACTACCATAGCTTCCTTGTATCTCTGGGTTTTAATTTAAGTTACATGAATAAACTATTTTGATATATCCAATTTCCCCAATCCACTAGCTGAGATGACTGTATCATGTAATTTACTGTAAGTGTGAGGATCAGAAATTTCGTGTTATAAACTAAAATTTTTTTTTGTTTAATAAACTTTATAAAGACAGAACGAGAAAACAGAAAATTAAAAAAAAAAAAGGGAAAAATAAAATCGATAAAAACCTCGATTCCCACAAGTTGGGTTCCTTGTTGAGATGAGTACATTTCTGTGTCACGATTGTGTCACCCGTCACCTCATTGGACCAAGAAGATTGTCATCGCTGACGAAATCGGGGAAAGGTTCGAAAAAGAGGACTTGATATAAAAGGGACAGGCATGATGAGTAAGGGGGTGGAAGTTATTATTGGATTGTGTGTGTGCGCAGATCGTTTACCTCCCACCAAGATTCCTGAACATCAACCAACACCTCCCTACAGAACTTCTCCTTCTCACCTACAGAACTAGAAGACCTCAACACCTACTCAACTGAAAAGAACTGTTGGACCTTTTTTTGTGCTGGTACTTGATCAACAATACAACCTAAGGTATTTACCCTGCTCGGTTGTAATTAGAACTAGAAAATGATCAATAACTAAACACGATTCATGTAGTTTATGTTAGCATTTTATTCACTGATGTAAACCTAATTTAGATTATATATAAATAAATGGTTATTTATGTTTAAAGCAACTTTGAATGCAGTTTCTTCCGTTCTTCTCTCAGTTCTCTCCATTCCGGGTCCAAACCTCATACCTATCTACTCGCACGAACTTGTAGTCTCTGTATCGATTGAAGGATACAGTGGTGTCATCCTGACGTGGTATCGAAGAGATACCGACCCAACAGTCACATAAGCTACAAATGTCTATTCTTTTTCATTTTCCATTAAGCATTCTTTGTTGATGGAAAATCCACACTCCATATGAGAATTATTATGAGACATTATTAAAAACATCTTCACAAATGTTTCAAATTCTTTACTTTACCACAGTGATATGACAGACTAATCCAGAAAGAATCGAACCTGTCAAGCTGTCTGGAGTAGGGTTTAATCATATCACTGTGAGACTCTGGACAGATCTGAACCCTCACTGAAATTTGTGTTAAAATAATTTTTTTTTGAAAGAAAAGAAAAAGTTAGAAATATTTTTGTATGAAAATACAACACGAACTTTTAATCAATAAAACAATGGAAAAACAAAGATCGACTATTTCTGACACAAAACGACTTCTAATAACTTAACACTGCGTTGAGTAATAACAATCAAACAATCGTTGAGTAATAACACCATTTAGTCACCACCTGAAGCAGACCTTGGTGGAGGTCGAAAACGTTCGTGAAGTTTGTTACGAAGACAACACTGTTATAAAAAGGTTTCATGGATTGTTACGACTATTTCTGGTTGTGGATCAAATTAAACTTTGATTTTGACCTCTCCTGTGCTCCCAAAAGGTTTCAACAAATCATTCAGTAGACAGAACTTCTGTCTAATGAATGATTTGTATGTTTGAACAGTGAAACCATCTACAACCTTATTACTCATATTTGAAGTTCAAAGTGTCCACTACTGGTGCGTTTACCTTATTTGTATTGTATTTTATTTTTATCTTGTATCTTTAACTAGGACACCGGTATTTACTTATTTAAATAAATTTCAGAATACCAGTAAAATATTTTCAAGGAAATGATGTACAATTCGATTTTTCTGTAGAATTTCGACGATCTCTTAAGTATAAGCGTGGTTACCTGATAAACTGAACTGATTTGGGAGCAAAGCAACGAACTAGAATATACTACATACAGTGGCTGTAGCGACGCCATTATGGAAGAAAATTGAATACACATCAGCCTTTTTTTCTTTTTTTTAATTTTGAAAGTAAATAATAAGACATTTCTTTCTTTAACCATTTATTTAAACGTTTCTAAACAAGACAAAATATTCTGTAACGCTAAGTTAAATGCATTTCTACACATTCTTAATTTTACTTTCCCGACTGTGANGTCCACTACTGGTGCGTTTACCTTATTTGTATTTTATTTTATTTTTATCTTGTATTTTATTATTTTCTGTTTTAATTTAAAAATAGTTCAATATTTTCATGGTATTTGCTATTATTTGGTAACCTTAAATTTCTTCCAGGAGGGAGGTTACTGTGTTTGTTATTTTATTCTTGTTTTCTGTTCTGTTATTTCCATTGCGTTTCTAAATCATTCAAATTACAGTTTGTAACCTGCGAATGGTCTTTTAAAATGAACAAAAACATCAGTTGCTGAAGTTTTTTTGCTGCTGTATAATGGTTTTGAGTTACTATAGTTATTTCATATTGAACAGTTCTTGTAGATAGTTTGGTCTGAGAAAATGATTTGGACATGAGAAAGTTTTCTTAAATAATTAATTTTCAAAGAAAATTATATCTTCAATTGTAATAAAATTTAATAAATAAATTAAATAATTGTATCTGAAAAAATTAAATTTATTCCATTTTGTTTTTCAAACTGAATAATTTTTGGAAAACTAATATTCAGTATTTATTTGTTAGACATTCCAGAAACAAAATAAATTAATTTATCCAACCATTGTATTTGATGGTAAAAGATCTTTAAATATAAAAATAAGAAACACTTACCACATGATAAACCAAATGAATTCCATCAGTAATAGCAACTGTTAAATTATATTTTGACTGTAATTCCCAATGAAGTTGTTTTCTTAATAATATAGCTCCCATATCAGGCTGCTGCATCATAAATACATTTTCTTTATTTCCATCTAAGTGAATGAAAATTTTAGTTCATGATTAAAGTTTTTACAACTTTAATAAAATAAGTATAGCTTTTGGAGAAATTCCAGAAGGCCATACTTGTAAAAAAAATTACATTCAATAGTCTAAACAGTGCAATTTTGAGAAAAAAGTGCATGATACAGAACAGAAAATTTACTTTACAAAACAATAACACAATTTATTAATAATTAATTACAAATAAGAAGTATTACAACAATAAAAGTTAGGAACTGACTTCACACCTGGTTAGCAATAACAGTCTGAGTTTTCAAGGACTTTATCTGGATTCAAAACACACAAAATTGCAAGAATTCTCAGCTTCATTTAAGCCTTCATCAGGATCATACTAAGGAAATAGTACTTTCAAATCAATCTTTATTATTTTTTAAACAGATTGCATTTTTAAAATTAAAAATACATTTTAATGTAATATTACTATGTAATATTTTCAATTTTTAGACTAAATTTTAAATGCATCTATTAATGATACAATTCAACTAAAATATAAACAGAAGTAAAATAAACTATTAAAGTACTAAGTGATCATAATTGAAGTATCCTATTCAACACTGTCTAGAAAGATATTTAACAATCCAAATGAAACCAGACCCAGTTTATGGTAAGGATATTAAATCTTTGGGTTTTTAAATCTTTGAAGTTTTGAAACTTTATTTTCAAAACTTTACAGTTTTAAAAGTTTTAATGCTAACATTTTTGGCTGAAGTTGGCTGAAGAGGGGCAAGAAATGCCCGAAACGTGTACAAATGAGAGGAATAATAATAATAATGAGAGGAACATGTATCAACTGAATAAAATTTAATGCTGTGATTTGCCAAATGTCTGTATAAATACAATAAATAATTTGTGTTTGAATTACTAAAAATTACTGGCACGGTTTCAAAAATACCACAAAAGCTAACATCTTTGTCACAGTAATTTATCATTACGAGAAAGGAATGAATTTGATCTATTATAAATTGATTAAATGACTATATTGAGAGTTCTTAAAATTAAATTCATGAATGCAGATCAGAAATTTTAGAAACAAACTTTATTCAAATCTACAGTAGAGCATCGATTATCTGAAACAATTCGGAACTGGGATTGTTTGGATAACCAATCATTTACGAAAAATATATTAAACACAAAACTGTACTGTATATACAGGGTGTTTATAAATGAATGATGCGGTTTTAAAAATTAATAATAAATCTATTTATTACGTTATATGGGCAAACCTTACAGCCTAAGCAGTGGCAACTGTCCAAGTTTATGTACCATCAATGCCCATGTCCCTTGAGGATACACTGCAGGCCATCATGGAGGACATGCTACACCGTGTATGGGAAAAATTTGATTACTGTGTAGATGTGTGTCATGTGACCATGGGTGCACATATTGAAAGATTGTGATTAATGCATAAAAAACTTGGACAGTTGTCGCTGCTTATGCTTTAAGGTTTGCCCATATAAGATTATAAATAGATTTATTATTAATTTTTAAAACTGCACCATTCATTTATAAACACCCAGTATTTTGTATCACACATCCTACAAATACATACCTTACATAAAGTAGTACATTAAAGTAGGCCTACAGTTTAGGTTGGCAGGAAGGGGGAGAATGCTGCAGCACCAAAGCACTAATGGAAATTTGAATTTGCTGACTGGAACACTTTTGGTTAACCAATGTTTCAGTTGATCAATATTAGGATATTCGATGCACTACCATATTTTGATTATTAAATACATTTAGGATTTTCTTTGAAATAAAAAGTTAAGTATACAAAAGCATTAAAAAGATGAGGAGACAATCAATTCTCTAGTTTTGTTAAAATGTTACCACAAATCCTTTCACTATGGGTTGATGTATATTCAATGGTTTTGAGCACTAAGTAGTTTCTCTACATTTTCACTACATTTGCATGCCAACATTGGCATTTTAATTTCTTCTGCTTTGAAATTTACTTTTACTATTGTTTAAATATTAATTAAAATCTTCATAACTTCGATTCATTTTTTCCAAAGCTTCAAACCCTAAAAATGCCAAAAGTTTTCTAAGGTTCAAAGCTTCAAGGCTTCAATTGATATCCCTAGTCTGTGACATTTCAGGACAAGCAAAAGAAAATTTTCATTAAAAAATATCAGTAACAAAACCCACCACTACAATACTTTTGGCACTGTAAGCAATGAAAATGCAGCTGTCTTTGAGTATAAGAACATATACTGCAGACAAGTTTTGGGTATAAAATTGGCTACAACTATTAAATATCATTCATATCTGTTACAATGACTATCACCTTGCCAGAACATATATTTCTTGTGAAGCTGTTTTATAAAATCAACAATGCTGCAGTTTGAAAATTTTGCTATCTTAAGAATTTAAATAAAAAACCACTGACTCCACAAACTCTCAGGAAAATGGTAACTCAATTTGATAAAACTGGATGTCTGGGAGTTCAATCCAGTTGAGGATGCAAACTTTTACTTCACAAGTCATTGAAGATGTTACTATAGTTGCTGTTTGCAATCAATGCATAATGTTGAAAGCTCCAGCAGTGCAACAACAGTTGGATGTAGCCAATGTGTATTGTGAAAGATACTGAGAGAGTTGATACATTGTTATCTGTATAATATTGGTCACAACCAGCAGTTGCTTGCAACCAATAGGGAATCCAAAGGATCTTTATATTAACTTCCCTTGTCAGAATGGAAATGGATGAGTCATGGCCTAGATCTTATAGAGCAGTGTTTTTCAACCTGTGGGTCGCGAAGCCTTACACGGGGGGCCGCGGGTAAAAGAAAAAGACAAGTGTTTGTAGGTCCTACACTACATTAAAAAAACTACAATTTCAGCAAGAATTATGGCCCACCCCAGAAAATGATAGCGGAAAAAGTGTTGAGCTGATCTGCAAAAAGAAATAAAAAGTAGAAAGGTAGAAGCTGAAAATTCTGATCCTAAACAAAAAAAAAAAAGGTCAACATCTTCCTGTGCCGAATGTTATAATTAAAGGAAGTTTCATACTTTATGTGTGTTAAGTTATTGTCGATTCTTCTGAAATTTTCACTTTAATCAACAATAATTTGTCTCAACAGAGAGAAAATTAAATATATAGTTTTTAAAATCACTGATATAGTTTTAATATGGCCCTAGGGGGTCGCCAGATTTTTTTAACTTGTAAAGGGGTCGCGTATTCAAGAAGGTTGAAAAACACTGTTATAGAGTAATATGGCATATTTTCATCTCAGTGGAACAATGAATACCTGTAACCATTGCATTTGTGCTATGAAAAATACATTTTCTAGCAGATTCCACTGCAACTGCCTAAAGTTACAATCTGATGTGAATTCATAGGCACAGTTATCCTTGGATCGTCCTTCTTCTAAGAAGTTAGTTCCAATGGTTTGTGACATGTTCTTTAACAAAGAGCCCTGAGATATAAAGAAACACACAACAATTGTCATATTCTAGCTGCAAACAGTGATACTCTTGAGTTAGCCATTTTCATGCGAGACAGAGTATTTCCATATATAGGAAGCTGCATATAGAAGTTTCTGTGATACTTTACTGATAATAAAGTGATTAGTTTTGCATTTTTTCAGGAGAATGAGGTAGCCATTGCCTGGCTACCTCATTCTCCTGATCTTAATCTGTGTAATTTTTTATTATTGAGACACTTAAAAACTGTGTTTAATCAAGGGCATGTTGCAAATCTACCAAGTTTAAAACACAGTATCATACTGCATATGAGAAGCATCACGAAGAATCAATTATGATCAGACATTAAACACACTGTTCATCACCTTCAGATTTTATACCTTCACAACAGGGACCACACTGAGGATTATCTCCAGCATCACTAAAGCCTGGTGAAAACTAGTCAATATCAAAGCAAACTGGTTGGAGTGACATTGAACAAAATTTGCTCAATCATCATATGGTCAACCATCAACTGCCCAGTCATTGACTCAACATCATCCTACAGCATACCCTTCAATAGAAAGTAGATAGTCCCTTCAACAACTCTCAGATCCAAGACATTGATTTTTCAGGCAACAATGAAATACACTTGTGCACAATATTTACACCACTTATTTTGGTTACAAACTGCACTTTCACATCAAAAAGTTTTACAATTAACTATTGTCCATATGATAACATCATAATCATTTCAATAAAATTAAAGCCAAACAATTGATGAATTATTACTATTATAATTCAGCAATTGTTTGGCTTTAATATATAACTATTAGGTTTGGATGTTTATATTTATATATTTCATGACATTATTGAAATTATAATGTGTATCACTAAAAATATTTTATATATCACTTATTAATTAATTCATTTCCAATAAAAAACACACAAGAGGTTGTATACAAAGCAATAAGTAAGACAATGACAATCACTGATTTTTGTCATTTTGTAAACAAGCTACCAAGAGATAGTTCATAGCAGGGTAGATAAATGTTTATTGGTTCTTCAGAACTATGTTATGAGTTATATCTTGAGGACATCAAAGGAAAACAGTCAAATGGCCACAAAAATTGAATCTGATGTCACAATGAAAGCAATCACATCAAACAGTTTGTGTTAGACTTAAGATCTCAGTATATCATAAATATCTTGTACAAATAAAATGTTTGTTGATTTATTTTTTATTTCTTGATAACGTGGCAAAGGCAGTAAATTTAAATTCACAAAAATAATTATTTTATTGTGTAGTATTTTATTTTTGTGAATTTAAATTTACTGTTTGCCATTTTATCAAATGTATAGCCTATATTTTTTACTTGTGCCATTGCCAGAGGGAAGATTTGAAACATTTTGCATATTGATGCAAACAAGTAGCCTCAAAATAAAGGTTGACCCTACCCAAAAGTGTGAAAACAGTAAGTGTTTACATAATTTAGTGTTTTTCCTACTTCCTTTGATGTGTTGATTTTTGGTATTCATGGTCTTTGTGTGGGATCTGTGCCTGAAATAT